ATATTAATCTATATTAATTTATGGCATTTCTCTGGTGTGTGTGGCACCTGCCTAGGCAACATTAGTTGCCTGGACGATAGCTTGCCTCTTTCACTTTCTTGCTGGCCGAAGCTGTCTTCCATGATGGAGGTCAAACATGTCTGATGCTCATTTTCACAACCCTCCCTCATATTGGCACACAAGTCTGTGACCTGACTCAAGCCAATAATCTAAGGATTAGTTTGCTAGCAGGAGGGAGGTGGAGGAGAAGGAGATGGTGATGTTGAGATCATTTATAGATGATATTTTCTTCCCTGAAATACATGAAAAATGTCTGGGAAAATCCCACCTTTCTTTCCAACATGGGTGCCAGAAGCTGAGGGAGACTCTGTGGCCCTTAGGTGGAAGGTGAAGAGGGCAGCCATAAAGTGAAGGATAGTAAAGATGAAAGGTAGAAAGAGCCTGTGTCCTTGATGACTCTGGTGACAGCTGTGCCAATCTGGAGAGGGCCTAACTCCAGACATCTTACCGTGTGAGGTAATGAATGCTCCGATTCTTTGAGCCAACTTAGTCAGTATTCTGTTACTTCCAACCCAAACTGTTACTACTGATAAAGGCACTTCAAAAAATAGCATTGATATTTCTAAAACATGCCAATCAGTATTTGGAATCATGTACATAATGGTTTAATGTGTGGACTATAATAATATTTTGGTAAAAAATTAATAGTATTTTCATCTCCTAGGTAGAATTTTGACCAAGCACTTTTCTCTTCCATACAAAAGTATCATGCTGAACTTCAATAAACTAGGGGGAAAAGACCTATTGACAAAAGCCCATCCAAAATAAATAGGCCTAAAAGAAAATTATCTTTTAAAAATCAAACAACAAGGCTAATCCTTCAGCTTAAGTTTTTCTTAAAATGTATACTAGACCAAATGTTCTAACTATGCCAATTTCATACTGTATCTCTGCAATATTAATTTCCTGTTTCCAAAGGACCATATTTTATTTTCATATGAATATTTTTCTTCATATTTGAAGAAATATGACTTCATAATTTTCAGTCTTCTTTATGTTTTTTTTCTGTTTTATTATTGAAGTTATATCTCACATACAATGTTATGTTAGTTTCAGGTATACAACATACTGATTTGACAGTTCTGTAAGTTACTCAATGTTCCTAAGTGTTGTAATTATCTGTCACCATACATTATTACAATATTATTGACTGTATTCCCTATGCTGTAGTTTTAATCCTTGTGACTTATCTTATAATTAGAAATTTGAACCCCTTTATCTATTTCACCGATCCCCCACCCACCACATCTTAGGCAACTACCAGTTTCTTCTGTTTTTGCCTTTGTTTGTTTGTTTTGTTTTTTAGATTTTGCATATAAGTGAAATCATATGGTATTTGTCTTTCACTGTCTGACTCATAGCGCTAGGATAATACTCTCTAAGTCCACCCATATTGTCACCAATGGCAAGATTTCATTATTGTTATGGCTGTGTGATATTCCATTGTGTGTGTGTGTGTGTGTATCACTTCTTTGTACATTCATCTGTTGATGAACATTTGGGCTGCTTCTACATCTTGGCTATTGCAAAGAATGCTGTAATAAACATAGGAATGCATGTTTATTTTTGAATTAGTGTTTTCATTTTCTCTAGATAAATGCCCAGTAGTAGAGTTACTGGAATCATGTGGTATTTCCATTTTTAACTCTTTGAGAAACTTCCATACTATTTTACACAGTGGATGCAACAATTTACATTCCCACCAAAAGTGTATGAGGGCTTCCTTTTCTCCACATCCTTTCCAACACCTGATATTTCTCGTCTTTTGATATTAGTCATTCTGACTGGTGTGAGGTGATTATTTCATCATGGTTTTGATTTGCATTTTTTTGATGATTAATGGTGTTGAACATCTCTTCATGTGTGTATTGGCCACCTGTATGTCTTTAAAAAAATGTCATCAGTTCTTTTGCCTGTTTTTAAGTCATATTCTTTGGGTTTTGGTGTTGAGTTGTGTAAGTTCTTTGAATATATATTTTTAATGTTTTATTTATTTCTGAGAGGGAGGGAGAGAGACAGCATGAGCAGGGGAGGGTCAGAGAGAGGGAGACACAGAATCTGAAACAGGCTCCAGGCTCTGAGCTAGCTGTCAGCAGAAAGCCCGATGCAGGGCTCGAACCCACAAACCGTGAGATCATGACCTGAGTCGAAGTTGGATGCTTAACTGACTGAGCCACCCAGGTGCCCTTGAATATTTTGAATATTAACCCCTTATTGGCCATATCATTTACAAATATCTTTTCTCATTCACTAGGGTGCATTTTTCTGATATTGATGGTTTCCTTTGCTATGTAATTATCAGTATTCTTTAAATAGTTAACTAACCCTTAAATAAACTTTTAGTTATATTTGTAGATTTTCAAACAATACAAAATAATAAAATAGTGTCTATACTCTCTATGACCACACATCTTTATGCCATGAGACCTAAATTTCTTAGATTTATTCTTAAAGCTTTTAAAACCTAATCAGAGCCAAATAATAATATATTTTAAGAAGGAAACTTCATACTCATGCATCATTTTCCCTTGGTCAAAGAAATGATAATGTCCAGAGGATAGAATACTGAGCTTACAATATAAGGATAAGAAATGTTATTTTCTGCGTGATATTAAAACAAATTATTTTGGTTTAAAAATTATCTAATGACATATTAAATGTTCTATACATGAAATAGTTTTTTTGAGAGTAAATATTGAACATATGCTACAACTTGGGCTGAATTTGACAGTGTTTATTTGGTCAAATATTCTGGATTTTTGCAAATTACGGTAATTGCTGGTATCATTTATACTTTATTTTAAATTTTTAAAAATGTTTTATTTGCTTCTGAGAGAGAGAGAGACAGCGTGAGCAGGGGAGGGTCAGAGAGAGAGGGAGACACAGAATCTGAAACAGGCTCCAGGCTCTGAGCTAGCTGTCAGCACAGAGCCTGACACGGGGCTCGAACCCACGAATCATGAGATCATGACCTGAGCCGAAGTCGGATGCTCAACTGACTGAGCCACTCAGGTGCCCCTGGGATCATTTATACTTTAAAAGAAAAGGTAGTTTCGCTTATGTTACTACAGTTTTGTTTTTTTTTAAAGGTTCATGTCTGAAGCCACAATGTCTCTAGAAAATATCTGGATGAAAAGAGCTAATCAGATCCAGCAACCTCACTCCTTAGTATCTACCTAAAGGAACTGAAAACATGTTTACATTAAAACCTCCATGCAGATGTTTATAGCAGCTTTATTTATAGTTGCCAAAACTTGGAAGCAACTGAGATGTTCTTCAGCAGGTGAATGGATAAATTAACTATGGTCCATTCAGATAATGGAATATTATAGAAATGAGCAATCAAGCCATGAAAAACATGGAGAAAACTTAAATGCATATTACCAAGTAAAAGAAACCAATATGAAAAGGATATATAATGTATGATTTCAATTATATGACATGATGGAAAAGACAACACTATGGAGACAGTAAAAAGATCAGTGGTTGCTAAGGATTTGCAGGAAGGGAGAAATGAAAAGGCATAGCACAGGGAATTTTTAGGGCAGTGCAAATACTCTTATGATATCGTAATAGTGAATACGATGTCATTATGCATTTGTACAAATTCATAGAATATACAACACCAAGAGTGAGCCCTAATGTAAACTATAGACTCTAGGTGATAATGATGTATCACTCTAGCTTCACCAATTTAAAAAAAATTTCCATCTGGTGGGAGATGTTGATAATGGAGGAGGTTATGTATCTGTGTGGATATGTATATATATATACGTATATATATATATATATATATATATATATATAGCTTTGAATGTTCCTCTCAAATTAGCTATGAACCTAAACTTCTTTTTAAAAATGTCTTAAAAAAAGAGAGAGATAATTATTCTTGATGTTCTATCATGTGCTTTACACCTTAAAACAACCAGTTTTTACTAACACCTCCCACCTATAGGACACATATGATTTAATCAGACAGGGCTATGTGCCCTACAAATAAGACCTCAATCATCACAACAATCCTAGCAGACAGGTAGAATTATTCTTTGATTTTTTTTTAAAGAAACACAGAGTTTAGGGAAGTAGAGTAACCTTTCCAAGACTTGTAGCTAGAAAACATTAGTATGGGTTGGTTTGTTTCCAAAGCCCTCGCTGTAACCACTGTTGTTATAACAACCCATATCAACCTCACTCCACATTTATGTCCAGCCCAACCTACAATGGCTTAGTTAGTTAGTGCAGAATTGGAGTAGTTGCCTGTCTCAGTGTTTCTGTAAGTAGCTCTTTTAGAGGTCTTTCTCTTCTCTCTCCTTTGTGAGCATACAGCAAAATGGTATCCATTTGAAAACCAGGAGGTGACCAGGAATTGAATTGGCTGGGATCTTGATCTTGGTCTTCTCTGACTCCAGAACTGTGAGCAATAACCTTCTGTTATTAAGCCACCCAGTTAGTGGTTCTTTTGTCATAGCAGTCTGAACTAGGACACCCATTTGCTCTCTAGTAAAAGTGATGCCTTTTGTTCCCCAAGACTTTGCTTCAGTCCTTGTTTTACTTACCTTGTGGACAACCTCCCTTACAGTAAATGAAATCATCCTAATTATAAAACTTAAATAAAACTACAGTAATCAAGGGGCGCCTGGGTGGCTTAGTCGGTTAAGCGTCCGACTTTCGCTTAGGTCATGATCTCGCGGTTCGTGGGTTCGAGCCCCACGTCGGGCTCTGTGCTGACTGCCAGCTCAGAGCCTGGAGCCTGTTTCAGAGTCTGTGTCTCCCTCTCTCTCTGACCCTCCCCTGCTCACACTGTCTCTCTCTCTCTCTCTCTCTCTCTCCTAGAAATAAATAAAAATATTTAAAAAACCTACAGTAATCAAGAGAATATGATGCTGGCATATGTTTCGATTATCCAGTACTAGAACAGAATGGAAGGTCCAGAAGTAGACTCACACATGAATGGTCTAATAATTTTCATCAAAAGCAGTAAGTTAATTCAGTGTGAAAGAGAATGCTTTCCAAATAAATCATGGGAGAACAATTGGATATCTGTATAAAATGAAGTAAACCTTGACACCTGCTCCATTCCTTAAAAAAATAAATGCAAGATCGATCATACATTTAAATATAAAAGCTTAGAATCATAAAATGCCTATAAAATATAATATCTTCACAAATGTAGAGTTATAAAGCACAAAATTATAAAAGGAAAAATGATATATTAGATTGTATCAAAATTTAACATTTTTGCTTACCAAAAAGTACCATTAAGAAAATGAATAGGCAAAGTACAAAGTGGGAGAAAATATTCATTATATATATTTCATGAAAGACTTTTTCAGAAAATATAAAGAACACCTACAAATTAGTAATAAAAGGGCAACCCAATATAAAAATCAGGAAAAATAACACTTCATAAAAGATATATATATGGTTCATAACTATAAAACAGTGCTCAACATCATGAGTTATTAGGGAAATGCAAATAATGTCATAATGAATGTCACTTTAAATCTACTAGAATCACCAAAATTAACAAAAAAAAAGTGGCTATAAGAAATGTTGGAAAAGATGTAAAGCACTTGAACCCCTCATACACTGCTGGTACAATGATTTTTGAGATGAATATAGCATTTTCACACACACACACACACACACACACACACACACACACATATATATTCCATGACCCAGCAATTCTACCCCTAGATAAGAAAAGGAAAGTGCATATTCATAAAATGCCTTTAATAAGAATATTTAGAGTAGCCTTATTCATGATAACTCAAAACTGCAAATAACTGAATATCTATCAACAGAATTGATAAACGAATTGTGATATATTCAGATAACTGAATCATACTACTTCATAACAAAAAGGAACAAACTACTAAATTATGCAACAACATAAGTGAATCTAAAAAAACATATATATTGAGCGAAAGGAGGCAGATACAAAGGAATATATATTGTATGATTGCATTTATATAAAGATCGAGAATAAGCAAATCAGTATCTAATGGCAGAAGTTAGACAGTGGCAGTTTTGGAGTGTGCGTGCATGATGGGGGTGAAGGTATTTTTGGTTAATGGACTGGAAAGAAATGCAAATAAACTTCTGGGTTCATGTAAATGTTCTAGATCTTGTTTTAGGTAGTGGCTTCATGGGTGTGTATAATTGTCAAAACTCATATTCTGAACACTTAATATCTGTGCACTTTATTGAATTTAAATTATATCTCAATTTGAAAGTAGCCTGTAGGCTTCAGGAATTAAGTAGTTATTGATGGAAGTCTTTGGTGGGAATGGCAGAAATGAAGAACACAAAGATTGATGGGTGGGTTTGCTGTTTATAACTGTACTAAGATGCATAAAGAAAAATGTGATAAGCTTGGAGATCCAGAGAGCTTCTATGATTGCCTTAAAAATATATCTCTATGGGTTGCTAGGATGACCCATCCAAATCAATTATTAATGCTGTAAAAGACTGAACTCCAAAGAAGTTGAATAAACAGACCCACCAGATCTTTTAGGTAAAAAATTAAGGCATTGATTGAGAAACTGGATCTTGAAAATTATAATAACTAGTTAGAGTATACATTCTATCTTCTCAATAGACCCTAAAGAGCTCTTTGCTGTCTGAAAAAGTCCTTCTTCTCTATCTTATAAGACTAGTTCTGTCTCATTTGAAAATTCTGAAATAACTTCATCTGAGGAATTAACTTTGTGAAATATTCCTTATTCTCCCCATAATTCACTGCTATCACTTCTTTTTATCTCTAGACTAGTACTATCCAGTAGAAATAGCATGTGAGCCATCTACATAATTTTTAATATTTTAGTAGCAAATTTACAAACTATAAAGAAGAGCAAAATTTAGATTTTAATAATATGTATTATTTAACTCAATATACCCAAAATATTATCATTTCAACAAATGATTATTACAAAAATGAAGATGTTTTTTCTTTTTTCATATGCAAAATCATGTTTTCCACTTATAACATGTCTCAAGACTACTCACATTTTAAATGTTCAATAGCCATAGGTTGCTAGTGGCCTCTGTATTGGACGAGGATTTATTACTGTTAGCATTGTTAACATTTGGACTGAATAAGTTTTTGTTGTAGGGGGTGTTCTGTGCATTGTAGAATTTTAAGCAGCATCCCTGACCTCTACCTACTAGACACCAGTATTATTAGATCTATAGATCTACAGATTCAGATCTCAGTATATTTCAGGGCACAAGTGAAATGTCTGACCTGGGAGAAGTCTTTCATACAAAAAAAATGTGCAAGCTTTGCTTATTTATATTGGCAGAAACCTATGTAATATGCTAATGCATTCCAAGGGTATTAGACTAGGGATGAAGGAATATAATTTTTGAAGAGATTGAAATTATGAGTATGGATACACTTACCAAAGACCATGGATTCATCATGCTTGCCTAAGCATCTGGGAGTGGTTCAAGGTTTGTTTGGTTCCTTGAAACCTGGGTCCAATGGTGGCCTGCATTAAATACAGTTGAGATGCTAGAAATCTCATGATATATTTTAGAAGATTGAGTTAGAAGACTTAAAGAGATAGAATGATTGGAATGGATTTATCATGTGTCACCCAGTCACCTATCTCCAATTGTGTCCTAAAAAGGCCTGGAGAACCTTCTCTTCACTAATGCATTGAGAAAATATTGTGAGCGAGAGGAAGCTGCTGTCCTCTGAGCCCAGGCATGAAGTTAGGAGATGATGCAGTTAAATAGGATCCCCAATTCCCTAACAGAAATAATAGGACCTCAAAGTGGCAGAGGCCAAGTAATAGCACTTAACCATCAGGGATGAGATAGCTAAGGTTACCATTATAGAAAGCAGGGCCAGAGCAGTAATCATAGTTGTTAGATTAGGAGGGATCTTTAGTAGTGGGTGATTGATTATAGTGTCCCTATAAATGAAATGAAAAATTACTAGATCTGATGAAAAAAAGACCTGAACTTCACATTTACAACATCTTGGCATTGCTTCATTCATGGCTATTATAATCAGAAGGCCAATTAGTTGGCCCTCAAATGGCCCTTTTCTACTGCAAAGGTAAACCAAAATCCATACCATATTTCTAGGGGAATTCTAGTGATTATTGCCACCATCAAAGACTTTAAAGATGCACGAGTGGTGATTCTCACCACATTCCCATTAAACCTTCAATTTGGTCTGGGTAGAAAATGAATGGGTCATCTAAAATGTTGATCTGTATGCAGTCTTTTTATCAGGTGAATAACACAACTTCTTTTCTTTTAATTTTTTTAATGCTTATTTTTAAGAGAGAGAGACAGACAGAGTGCAAGGAGGGGAGGGGCAGAAAGAGAGAGTGAGACACAGAATCCGAAGCAGACTCGAGGCTCTGAGCTGTCAGCATAGAGCTGGACGCAGGCCTTGAACTCATGAACCATGAAATCATCACCCGAGCCAAAGCTGGACGCTTAACTGACTGAGCCACCCAGGTGCCCAGAAGAAGCACAATTTCTAACACTTACCATGCAGATACCACTCTGGCAAATGTCTTTTGGTAATCCTAATATGCGTAGAACAGAGGAAGTTGTTTGATTTTATCTGGAAGTGAGAGAATGTCAGATAATTTATTGCTTTACATAAGGGCTGTGTTAGTTCTCTAGTTCTCTGTCCTACTTTAGTGTGCAGGGACCATGATCTTTTCATCAACTTATGGGACATCACTGTAGTCCACTACATTTATGATAATGTGCTGATAGGACTTGATGATCAGGAAATAGCACATACCTTAGATGCCTTGTGTAGTAAAGTGTCTTTCCATTGATGTGACTTTGACCCTGTCCTATCAAGAGGCAGAAGCTTTTACTCTTTCCCTTGTGTGTGGGCTGGCTCTCTGATGTATTTTAGATAGCAAAACGCAGCAGAAGTGCTTCTGTGTAACTTGTGGGGCCTTAGACCTGCAGCTTCTTCCTTTGCTGCCTCGGACACTCACTCTTGGGATGCACCTGCTATGAATAAAAGCTCAAGCTGGCCACACACAGAGCCACATGGATACAAGAGGCCTAAGCCTCCCAATTTTACCCACCAAGTCACCAAACATAAATAATCTTGGATATTCCAGCCTCAGCGGCAATCATGTTGCAACTGCATGAGAGACACCAGCTGTTGCCACATGGTTGTTGTTTTAGACCACTAAATTCATTAAAACAGTAAAAGAAAACCAAAACATGTTGGAAAGAATGCAATTCAGAGTGGAGGATAAGCCCTATGAAAATAATTTATTACACGACCAAACTTTTTTAAATGGCTTTTTTATTTTGCTAAGTTTTATTTGTACTTATCAAGTATCTTTAATATTTCATTGTTTGCTATTTTTACATTCTACATTTCTTCCCATGAGGAAGGAAAACAAAATTACTTATCCACCATTGCACTGTTGCATCCTCCACACACTAATATCTTTAATGTTTATGACATACTTGATGTTTTAAATGCTTTATATTAGAGGTCTGCACACTATGTCCTGTGGGCCAAATCCATCCTGTTATCTATTTTGGTAAATAAACACGGAGAAACAGTGTGTTTATATATCTCCAATGGCGTCTTCTATTCATCATTGGTAGAGTTAAGTATGACAGAGACTATATAATTCACAAAATCTAAAATATTTACTATGTGGCTTTTACAGAAAAAGTATGCTGGCTTCTGCTTTAAATTATGAGGAAATCCTTGATGGATTATTTCATAAGTAGTCAGTATTTAATGATATTTGGGGAAATTGAATGGCAGTTTAGGTTGCACTGGAATGAATTTTTTTCCATTTAAATTATATAAAATAAGGGATATTTCTGTCCAAAAATTCACTATCCAACCAGATTTCAAACTTAGATTAGGTTGGATTCGATTTAGAGGATGAGGGATACCATATTTACCTGGACGGTTTGGTTAAAATAGTCAATTGAGAGTCTAATGTAATCATTTTGAGATT